AAAAAAAAAAAACAAAAAAAAAAAGAAAGAGAAAAAGAGTTCAAAATAAGTGAAGTTCCTAGCAAAGGCATGTAACTTGGGGGCAAATTGGGAATTTGAGCTTTAGCGACCATTCTTTCAAAAACCATACCCCAAACCACATTACAACCCAAAGCAAAAGTCCTTTTTGAAGGTTTTGAAACTTTATATATTTTGATGATTACAATCACTAAGTCAAAGATAGCATGGAGGGCATTTTGAGCTTAATATCCTTTCTTTCAAATTAACCAAGTCAATGACCACGTTACAAGCTGAATAAAGTCCTTATCAGAGGATTTGAAAGCTTTTGAAATTCCAATGTGGTTTGAGTGATAAAAATATATGATTGCCTTAAAAAGCTGGGGGCAAAAATTGAGAAATTTGAAGCTGAGCCATTCAAATGATTCAATGATCCATGAGTTGAAGATATCATCTCTATATTTTATGAAAGAAATGATTATAATTTCTTGAGATAGCAAGGAAAAGATTCTTCTTCTCTGTCAAGAATTTCAAACCTTTCATCTTTTTGTCAAGAATTCCATTTCTTTCATCTTAATCATGTCAATCATTCATACCTATCAATTCCATCTCTCTTTGTTCTTATCATCGTATCCTCATAATAAAAAAGAAAAAAAAAAGGGGCTTTTGTTTTAGTCATGCTACTTATAAAGAAAGTAGAGACAACTCACATGGAGTCAAAGCAATAGGAATCCCAAGGGAGTGAACTTAATTGTTGTCATGCATGATCATTTTGAACAGTTGGCATATGATGTATTCAGAAAATCTAGCCATTGTTGGTGATATGATTGAGTCAATTATAGATGCGAGCATGTAATACAAACTCCAAATTGAGGGGCAATTGCAAACCCAAGGTAAATTCTTTTTCCAATAAATTTGCATCTCAAGATCACAAGGTAAAACCATCTTCAAACTCCTTCATGACATTTCCAAAAGCATTTCTATAAAAGGCAGTTTCTCAACTTACTTTCAAAAGCAATTTTTCAATTCATTTTCAAGGACAATTTTTCTTAGTCATTACATTTCTTACCAGCTAAACATCCCATTACATTTCTCTACTAACATGACATTTTACTACTTTTGTCTGCAAGCATTACTTTTCACATAACTTTTCGTGCAAACATTTGAGCT